GAACCCAACTAAGACAAACCCGCTGGAGAAGAGAGAACGCTAGACAATGAAAGTCACCATAAACACGTCCATCTGTCTTTTGCCCATTATGTTGAGAGAGGGCGCTGAATTACAATCTCTACATTTCCCGTATGTGTTGATGTCGTTGGATTATCTCTTATGCGTTCTCAGCAATTTAACCGCTTGGAATGCACGAAGGATCATTCAACACCGTCAAAAACAAAGCAAAAAGCCAATTGAGGGAGTTATAGTAAGTTGCAGAAGCAAATAATCCAAACCCAGCAAGAGACAGAGCGAGAAGTCTACTTGCCACACCTTGATATAATAGGAAATAGAGCACCATCGCGCTGTGAAGCTCTCGTTTCTTTCTGCAGCTGTCGAAGGGAGACCATAATAAGCCAAAGTAAATAGAAAGAAAAGACAAAGTTTAAGCCTATTAAATGATCGCAAAACCTTGACAACCGGGTGTGCCCTGTCCTGCTGGGACTCCAAGGTCCTGCCAGAGCACTGACAGAGCCATTTTCTTGCTGTTGTCGACATCAAGGTTTTCGGAGTGAGACACGAGACAGTTATTTCTTATCTCGTATCATGTCCTCTAACCTGCAGTAATGACAACCATAAGTTAAACCTAGAGCAAGGCAGTTGAGGCAACCTCATTCTCCTCCATGCATAGAGAAAGGAACAAACTTTCTAACAGTTCTTTGATTTTACAGCAACCTGTAACTGCACCGTGCTTTTTGAACAAGCTGCATTACTGGATATTAACTCAGGTAAATGGGACAGGAAGATTGATCATGGTGTCAGAAAAGCAATTGGTAATGCACTTCCTGTATAAAAACCTTCTGATCCTAAGACACTCGTAATTGTTACTCCTCTGTTTCAAGCTCAGAAGATGATTTATCTGTGTAACATTACCCCAAAACAAACTTGCTAAACAATTCCTAAATACCATTAGGCATTATTGAGCTCTCCAAGTTCACTAATCACATTACCAGTGCAGAATGCTTGAAGTAACTGGAAAATAACTAAACTTTATTCAATGTCTGAAATGGATACTGAACAAGATTGTTTACAGTTATTCGTAGGTGAAACAGATTGTTTACCAGCTAAGGAATGAGTGCCACAAACTATTCTAGCAGCTGCAGAGTGCCAGTTTGCAAGGCTTTCTGTGCTGGAGCAATGTTGACTCCTCTTGAGTTCTTGGACCCCCAAGAATGAAAAATGGAATCCTCGTCCATCTGTCATTTTTATATCTATTGTCTCTTTCCCGTTACTTCCCACAGTACTGAACAAGTATTTATTACATAAATAGCCCAACTTGGCCAATACAGTCACTAAAACAAAGGGTTTCCACCTGAACATTTCTTAAGATTTAGGCAAGAACAAGCAATGGCAATGCAGCTGAAATTTACTTGACCCGCATCATACATTTTCAGTTCTCCAAAAGGCACAACACTCTTTTGAATACATATCAGTCTCGCAACTAGCACATTAACAACTCTAACCTGTGAACTAAACTTCTGGGCAGGGCAGAGATGCAACATAACATATCTAACTTATCCTAAATTCACAGATAAGAGTTCACTTCCGCGGAACATAGGCTGTGCACTACAGAGGGAATACCTTCAAAGAAATTCACAACACAATTGTTTGAAGAGATCTTTGGAAAAAATTAACACGCACATACACATACATGCATATGCATGTTGCTGAGCGTTCATTTCTCAGAAAGAACATATAATTTATACACTCTATTTGCCAAAAAGGAGTTAGTATCTTGGGCCAGGATACTTGACACCACCACCATTGTAGATTGGAGGAATGACAAAAGGATCTATGGTAGCCGTAAAGAGAGATCATACTCTTCCATGATCATTCTTTACAAGTCAATGGCATTCCCGGCATGTAAATGCTGGAAAGCAAATCTCATACATCTATTTGGAAATAACAATGTCCCTGATTTCCAGTTCCAATCCACGACAAAGATTCACAAGATATTTGCAACCGTCATCATCACATACGATCATTTCAACAATGCGAATGATAGAACAAAATCAATTGCTGATCCACAGCTTAAGCAAGATCATGTCCAACAAAAAAATGACTAGGGCCACCTAATTCTAACAAGAGGGTAAATATAGGAGAGAATGATGACACCTTCTCAGGCCTTCTGTTGGCCCATGCCAACAAACAAAGAAGAAACAGAGCCAGACAGTCATTCTAACAACTCACTGACTATCAAGGGCCTGCTAAACGTACTACGAACAGAACAACCATGAGAACTAAGAAGGAAACCATGTGGTTAACTTTGACCCTCTAATAGGATATTGAAATTACTAGTGGGACAGGCTGCTTAAACACATTACGGTAAGACTTCCCAAAGCAACGACACTGAACTCACATTTGTACCTGTATATGAGGTCATAACTGCGATCTTAACTCAAGACAGACAGTTGAACCAGCAGCAGCTTAGAAAGAGACAAAGCTGCAGATATTCGTATCAGCAAGTGATTTTTTATGAGTTTCGGGACTCCAAAGGAGACTTCTTTGTGAGAGCTTATGGGGTCCTCACAAAGAAGCTACTATCATTTGTTTGTAATGCTACACTCTCCATGGTTTTTTACATCCTTTGAGCTATACTTAACACGCAGAACTGGGTACAAACACAACAAGAAAACTCTTTTAACCAGCAGATTACTGGGGGCCTCATTAAAAACACTAGCGAGATAGGTTGCTTAAACACATCTCAAATAAAATTGCAAGATAAACAAAACAAAAGTTCCACGGATACCTCTACCTGTATACCAACTGATAACCACACTCATAACTAAAGAGCAGAAAGAAAGTTAGCAGCAGCTTAAGGAGAGGCATGCAAATATTCATGATTATTTTTAGTGACTTTTCATTCATTAACCTTCTTGAAGAACGAAACTTACAGGCCGCAGGGGAGACTTTTTCATGATGGCTTGCGGACCCCTTACAAAGAAGCTACTGGAATTAGTTTCTGATGCTATGCTACCTATGGGTTTTACATCCTTTGCGCTTTTCATCAAATGCAAACCCGATAAGTGGTCACCCCAGATATCATATGCATATTTATCCCCTGTATCAGTCTCCAACTTAACATTGTTTTGCTCATAATGCTTAGAGCCAGGAGCTCGAGCATGAGGAGCGACTGCAGAGGGAGTAAAATATGGCAGATTCGAGATAGGCCTACTGGTGCAAGGGAAAGTAGCAGAAGGCAGCAGAGCAGGTTTACTCATGACTTTCCTTGTCGGAGATTTTCCTTCAGTGCCAGAGACTCCACGGCTACTGGAGTACTGAAATGAAAGCTTTGGCTCTAGCACCATTGATGGGCAAACACGAGCCTTCTGACAGTCTCGGGCGGCGACCTTAGTGAAAGGATTTTTAATCTCAATAGGATCAGGGGCAGGAGAGGGAGACCACATACGATCAGGCATCACAGATGTTACTGGGGACAAAGGGGAAGAGGGTGTAGAGTTTCCACTTTGACTGCTTGAAACTTCAAATCCAGTTATACCACCAGGGACAACCTTTCTCTTTCTTCTCCTCCTTCCTTTCTCTTTCCCTGTCCTGACAGTAAGCTTGCAAGGTTCTGTAGTTTCAATTAAAGTTCTCGCGGTCCGTAAAGATTTCTGCAGTGAAGGTGTTGATTTTTCCTCTGGAGTGTAGGACGAAAATCCAAGACACTTATCGGACTCTAGGGTTGATTTTGCATGCTGAACAACTTTTCCACAATCTGCACCCCCGTTTTCAGCAGCAAAGTTCCTTTCAAGATATTCCCAATTCAGTGATTTTCCTTCCCCAACTAACCCCAAAGTATCTACATCAGTGGATGCAGAGAACTTAATGTTCCTCTCTTTGCGACACACACTTGAGGGTTTCTCAATACTTCTTGCGAAAGTAATAGAGGTGCTCCTCTCGCTCTTGTACGAGCAATCCTGGGAGCCAACAGTTGTCGCTTGGTGCAACATGAGATAAAACACCAGCAATACTGCAGAGGCAACAAGAAAGACTGCAGCAGAGAATTTTTTCAACCGCATCAAGAAGACTGATTTTTTGCAAAGGTTCCATGCATACAAAGGAAGACTAGCCTTCATAGGGATAACAAAGTTTCCCCCACTTAAGGCTAGTTCAAGATCTCTGTGAACGGATGTTCCAGATAGGTCAGTCTGGTAAGATACCTGGAGTTTGGCCGACTCTCCTGGTTCCAGAGAATAACCTTCACAAGCATGAACTATAAAACCATCCGATGCACACTCCTTCCCAGAAACTTTAATGCCTTTTATTTCCAAAGGCAGGTCTCCCAAGTTTTTCAGGAAAAGCCTTTTTGTTAATGGCTGGCGACAAGCTTCATATGTCTCTTGCATCTCCATAAGCATATCTGAAGAAGACATATTAAAAGAAAGGGGCAACTTGAGGTTAAATTCTACACTCTCAACGGGTTCAGGACCCTCAAGCAGGGCAAGAGAGCGTGAGCCTCCAAATCCTTGCAGAGAGAACCACTCCACACCAGAGAGATTGTTTCTTATCAGAGCTGACCCTCTCCACATGCATCTATTTGAAGGGTGAAATACAATTGGCCCCAACAATGCTTCATGCCCAGGGTGAATATAAGCTTCTGTAACTGCTGTCTTAACCAAGGAGAACCCGTACCTAGTAGTACCAGCCTCGTTTGGAATGAAACTACCAGCAGGTGGCAGTACAAATCCGACTGTGCTCTTGCATTTATCGACAATTTCAGCCGAGTTGAGAATGAGCTGCACCACAGCAGTCTGGTCACTAGGATTCTTCACTTCTACCCACTTAGAGCAATAACTTCCAACCTCTACCACAGGAAACGACATCTTATGATCTCTGATGACAGACAACCCACTGGTGGTACGATGAGATTTCCAGTTATCAAGAACGGATTCATCTGCTTCTGCCGTCTCAGGAAACTGGAAAATAATCCAAAGAAACAACTTGCGTTATTATCATGTATTTAAACTCGTTAATTAATAACTAAAAAGAAAGAAAGACAAGCACATGAGAAAGGAAACTGAGACGCATTCAATGAGCTTGTCTAACTACAAAAAGAAAATCATATGCAATTATACATGAGACTGCATATGGCTGTAGAAACAGAAAGAAACCTATGCAGTATGCACTTAATAGTCAACCTTATATTGGCAAGCCGGACAAGATCATGAGAACCAAGAAACCAATTGAGACAAAATAGTACTAGTAACTCCCTAAAATTGCATGCGAGGATCAATGTGCCTGATGTGGGATAACTTATCAGATAGTCAAACCAACAACCGCTAAATGGCACTCCTCCAGAGACGGCATCATAAACCATTAAAAAACCAGGAATAAAAGGATTTTCACATTCAAACTACTGAAATAGAATAAGCATATGTAACAAGACACAAAAATCCAGCAGAAAATGTTGGAGCACCAAATATATCAATCAGAAAAAGGTAAACAAGAATCAGCACACCTTTCTTTCTGAGTACCCTTCCATCCCAGCTTCCAATGGCCCCGATCCTAGGTTGCTAGAATCAGCTCTGACAAACTCATTATCATATTCAATGGATGAATCATTTTGATGTCTGTAACACATGTAGATGATATCCTGGGTAGGGACTTCAATTGGAGTACTTGATTCATTTGTCAGAATAATTAGTTTACTATCGTCGGGTTTTGAGTCACTTGATGCATATTGCTGCTGGGGACAGCCAACCACAGCTACTTGAGTCACACTACCAGGAAAAAGAAGCAAGCCTTCCGCATACTTGATCGGGAAACTTCTGGACCCTGCTTCACTAATCTTGACAACACCCAGAATATGAGAAGCTCTGTTGTGAAGAGAAATGGCAACCACAGGAGTCTTGCAGGAATAACAAGGCAGAGCCTCAAGCGAAACTGTAACCAACTCACTGATATTATCATGAGCCCTGTCTCCATTCAGAGAAGCTTCAAAAGGAACAATAACTGTTTCCGACTCATTCTGTGAAGGCCTTAGCAAATGCAAACAAAATGCACCAAAAATTCTTCCCTCAGATCCAAATGACAAGCCTATCTCTACAATTGTTTCCCTCTTGTTGGGAGCAACCTCCCAGTTGTCATGAGGCCTTAATGACAGCAGTGGCAAGCTAGAGTGGCCATTTGTAACACTTACCCAGGCATTAGCACTCAGTGTGCTAAGCTTCTCAGATGGCTTGAAATTTCCTACCGAACAGGTGGCTTCAGACTGATGTGAGACATTACCCAATGAAAGTGACACTGATGCACTTAATTCCTTCACCAGGATGGTATCACTGAAAGGATTGAATAAAGACAAATTCTTCCTCAACTCTCCACTAGAAGGAATATCAATGCCCATCAAAGGACTGATGGCATAAGGGGAAGCCAATCCATAACCTTTAGCCTGGATCACGAAACCACCCATACTTGTCTGCAAGATCAGGTGAGCTGAGGACAACCCCAACCATCTAGGTAAAAAGACAAAACATAGAGAAGCTACCTCACCCGGTCCTAGCTTAACCTCACTAAAATTGCAGGGATAGAACTGCATGTTGGTAGTGTGTGGTTCATAGACATGTAAAATGCTGTCATTACAAGTATTTGTCATTGTCAAGAAAACTACTGAAGGGAGATATAAATACTTCCTACCACAATCTAGAATGGAAGGACTTACTTCTACATGGGGTGAGGGATAAATACAACCAGGGCTAGACTTAGCCATCTCAGAGTCCTTGCTCAGCCTAAACTCAGAACCTTCCACAGATTTTCCACAAGAAGAAGAATCTTTCTGAATGACAAGGGATAAAGGTCCATGGAAGCCTTCTTCCGAATTCGAGGAACAAATAACTGTCCAACCATTCATTAACTCAAACGTGCCAGAGTCTGGTACCCAGCTCTTGTTGCCTGTTAAACTACTACGCTGAGTCAAATCTAAGGATACTGGACAATCTGACTGATAGCTAGACAGTTCTAAATTTTCTTCTCTAACCTTGTGTTCCTCCTCTACATAGCCAGGCAATGTTGACAGAAAGCAGAAGGAATGAGCATTGGTGCAAATGTAGTCAGACTTCATGCTTCCCCTTGAACTTACGGTATCAAAATATGATCCAGCATCAGCAACACTAGTGTCTTCATCCCCATAGGAACCACAACCGACATGTCCAGTTTTCTCGATAGCATTCACGGGACATGGTTCACACCTTACCAGGCACAAGAAGGAGCACAAGAGAACCAGAATAAGATGGAATTCCTTTCCACTGTTAAACAACCCCCTGAAACACCATGCAAACAACTTCATTTGGTTTAGAAATGGTCGCCATAATCAATACACTCATCAATAACAAAAGCTACTCCGAGTACACAAAGGGAGAAATTCAAAAAAGAATGCTTTAATTAAATAGCTTCAACATTTCCTAGTTTCTGGAAAACCATAGGGGAGCCCAAATGTGACTTTGATATTCTCTACAGCCGCAATGGATTCCATTACGTCAATTCAATTATCCACAGAACAAGTCCACCGTAAGGAAATGTATAGCTTAACCAACCCCACAAACCAAATTTGCATCCTTTCTCACCCTCTATGTATATAAATAATTATACATTACATCAAATTAAATGATGTTTCCCTTTAATCCCACACAATATATTTTTTTTTTTTTACTGTAACCACAAAATATTTTCAAATCAACATAGAAAACAAATTATTTTTCTTTCAATCACAATTTTTAGGAAATTTATTTACTTGTTTCTTTATTATATTAATTTCTAAATAAACCAATTTTTTCCCGGTGACCTTAACTGGGACAAATAGTCCAACATCATATATCATCACCTTTCCTTCGTCTAAAATTTTTTTTTTTAATTTGCTCGCGTTTAATTTAAGAACCAGGTCTTTGATACCAACTAACCCTACGATAACAACAATCGCCCCAAAAGCGGACACTCCCTAAAACAGCAAATACGGTCAACCCAAAAGAAAGAAAAAAACGCTGTACAGAACTTAACGCCCAATGATAAGACCGATGCCGCCATTTCCACACTGGACAAGACCATCGCCCCCATCATCAATCAAACAATAAGGAAAGCAGAGCAATCGCGAAAAGGGGCTGATTTCTCCGGCTAAATCCAACCCGATATAAGAAATAAGGAAAGAAGCAAACAGCTATCCATCTACCAGCTTGAGGAGAAGAAAACTAATCTCTTCGGGACCGGCGAAAAAAAGACCCAGAATCAGGTTCCTGGATAGTTGCGGGAATATCGAGAAATGCGCAGTGGCGACGACGATAGAAAGAAACAGAGAGAGAGAGAGAGAGAGAGAGAGAGAGTTTACCGGAGGCAGTAGTTTTTCCGGCGACCACACTCCTCCAGCTCCGGGTGGCGATGATGAGTGCTGCTCCGTCGGCGGCGGAGGTGGTGGTGCTCCGGGGGAGCTGAGGTTGGTGAAGAAACATCGGAGTCCATCAGAGACATGTCGAAGCAGAAATCATCTGGAGAACGACAGAGGAAAAAGAAAAGAAAGAAAGAGGGGACGGGCTTGGTTTGAAAATTTTGGGAGCAGCTGCTGCGCCTACGTATTAGGGTTTTAGTTGATTTCACACGTAGAGAGAGAAACAGAGCTCTTTACTGCTTGGAACGTAAGCACACAATACAGGGGACCTGATAATAAGGAACGAATGGCCTCCAAAAGCCAAAAACACCGTCAGAGCTTTAGAGAGAGAAACTGAGAAAATAAAAAGGAAAGAGGAAGAAAAAAGACTGAAACGGGGAGAGAGAAGATGACAAAGAAAAGAAAGAAATTGGTGAGAAGGAGAGAGATAGTGTGTGTGCACGTAAGGAATGAGTTGAAATTATGAAACTACCCCTCCCGCTACTTTCCTTTCCTTCCAAGTCCACGGTGTCGTTTTCTGATTGAGAAAATTGAGAGGGATTCTTCTTAAAAAAAGTAAAATTATGAGCTAATAACTCATCCAGTAAAATTAAAGATGACCATATCTATAAGATAATTAGCGGGATTAATCATAATTTAGGCCCCTAAAGAATTAGAATTTAGGGGTCGTTTGGAAGTTGCGATTGTTTTGTTGAGATTGTCATTATGCATGTATTGTTTACAATGCATCGTTTTTTTGTTTTTTTAAGCAGAAACAATACATGGATTGTTTCTATGATGTGACAGAAACTATCACTCATTTTGAGTGATTGTTATATCTCAACTTTTAGTTGTGATTGTTGAGATAGTTGAGTTGAGATTGTTTTGTCTCAGCTTTTAGCTGATGTGACATACACAATCACACATACCAAACATTGTATTCTACAATGCATCAAATTCGACAATACATGTATAATATTATACATGCATTCTCAACAATACATCTATTTAACAATCGCAACTTCCAAACGACCCTTTAGATGTTTTTTATGAATAATATAGATGGTTTTCCTTTTTTTCATTTGGGGAAATATTTGAATGATGTATTTACTTTGTTGTTTTCCTTCTTCCGGGCTTTGGTCAAATTGTGTATCGGTGGTGTTAAGTGCAAGTAGTGTACATCTCATTTATCGTATCTATTATAGGAGTTGATGACATCTCAATGGGTTATGAGAGCAATAAATTGTGACTTGTGATTACTGATTAGTAATATGTAAAATATTTACTTCTTTGGCCCTGTTCACTTCTATTTTCGTCTACTCTTTTCTACTTTCATGTCATAAATTTGGCAACCAAAACGAGAAAACTTGTTTACTTTTCATTATATTTTCTATTCGTTTCCAACTATGAAAACAGAAAGTGGCAACTTCCTGCTATTTTCGAAAACGACAAAATGTTGTTTTCACCTGTTTTCAACATCTGTTTTCTAAAAAACAGGAAACAGAAATAAAAGTAAACATACCCTTAGATTTCACTCTTCAAACCCTCCTCCAAATATTATATATAGGGCATTTATGCCCATATTCACTTCTCCAATTGATGCATCCTGTTGGGGGTGTTACTAAATACTCCACGCGCGGACTAAATAAGGGCGCGCTCCATCGGTAACGTGCTCCGGACGAACGCCACTACGAAGTATTTAAAGGCATGAAACTCCCCATTGAGGGGGACTTCTCCTCTCTCCTCACTTTCCACTTTCTACTATCTCTCTACACTTTATCTCTCTACCTATTCTCTCAACTCTCTCCACAAACATACACTAACTTGACCGTCGGAGCTTAATCCGGGGGGCAACCCCGGCACTTTTCACAGGTTTCTTCCCTCCCGACGAGATCAGACGAACGGATCATGAGTCAACCCCACCCCAACAATCATTATTGTCCATACCTCGAGCTAGTAGGTTCAAACAATTGGCGCCCACCGTGGGGCTGATTTGGATTCGTTCGTTCGTTCGCGGAAGGAGGAAGAACTCTTGATCTGAAGTGAATACAAAATCCTCATAAAAAAAAACTAGAAAAGCCAAAGCAGAGAAGAAGAAGAAACAGCAAATGGGGAGAGAGGACTAAAGAGGAGCCACCGCACCACCTCCGAGCCAGCAGCTCCCAGCCGGGAGAGGTCGTCCTCCATGGATGTACGTTTTTGTTTCTTCTTCGAGGGAGAAGGATCTCCCACTACTCCAGCTGGGACTGGGAGAGATTGAAATAAAAGCTCCCACAGATTCCGACCGCCAGAGATAGGGGCGGCACCGGCGACCTGACGAAAAAGAAAGAAGAGCCACTCTCCAGTCAACATCAGTACTTCTATTCAGTCACCTCAACAGTAAAAAAAAAAAGCAAAAGCAAAAACAAAGCCACCTTCTCTCCTGTCAGAGGGAAGAGACAAGTGAAGTTCCCAAGAAGCCACCTTCCTCCAGCCCATCCTTCTTCCTGTCAGAGGGAAGAGACAGGCGAAGTTCCCAAGAAGCCACCTTCCTCCAGCCCATCCTTGCTCCACTCCCGCGTCAAAAAATGTCATCGCCGCCAGTACTCAAACCAGCGCCACTTCTCCACCAGACGTACAAGTTAACCAGAGGACTAAAGCCCTTTGTTATTACTAAAAGCGCAGCGCGCCCTATTTATTCACTCTGACTCGCCTCAACAGCAACGCGCTCCGTCCGCTCCCAAGCTCGCGGCACAAGCAACGCGTGTCCGGCCCGCGACGCGCGCAAGCCCAATTCGCGGCCGCCCCGCGTCACCAGCACTCGACGCGCGCAAGCCCAACTCGCGCGGGCATTCAACTGATCAGCACTCTTCAAAAAAATGTCGTCGCCGCGAGGACTCGAACTCGCGCCACTCCTCCAACAGGCAAGCATCCTTACCAGCAGGCTACAAGCAAGCCTTGTGCTTTAATGGTGCAACGCCTGCATTTGGACTACATCGCCGCGCCACCTACAGCCCATGCTTGCGGCCCACCGCCGCCTCAACACTCACGGCCCACTCGCGTCACGCGTACCCGCCTCAAAAAATGTCATCGCCACGGGGACTCGAACTCGCGCCATTTGTGGGCCAAACAAGCAACATCACCAGCAGGCTACATGCAAGCTTTGTGATCCTTGGGCGCAGTACTCTCATTTTAACGATATTCCGCGCATACCCACCAACTCGCGTCAAAAAATGTCATCGCCGCGAGGACTCGAACCCGCGCGCATCACTCCATCTCACAAGCGCTATTACCAATAGGCTACATACAAGCCTTCTGCTTCAATGGCGCAGCGTCTGCCTTTTAACAACACTTCGCGCCGCTTCGCCAACATAAAGCTAAGTACTCTATCCCTATTTCATTATTAAATTTTTAAATCTCAACGAAGCACACAAATAAGACTTCAATAAGAGCATCGAAGACTCCAAACTGAGGGTTAAAAACCCCGACGAGGAGAGCTCCAAACTGAGGGTTAAAAACCCCGACGAGGAGCTACAAATAAGTCTCAACGAAGCACACAAATAAGACTTCAATAAGAGCATCGAAGACTCCAAACTGAGGGTTAAAAACCCCAACGAGGAGCTACAAATAAGTCTCAACGAAGCACACAAATAAGACTTCAATAAGAGCATCGAAGACTCCAAACTGAGGGTTAAAAACCCCGACGAGGAGAGCTCCAAACTGAGGGTTAAAAACCCCGACGAGGAGCTACAAATAAGTCTCAACGAAGCACACAAATAAGACTTCAATAAGAGCATCGAAGACTCCAAACTGAGGGTGAAAAACCCCGACGAGGAGAACTCCAAACTGAGGGTTAAAAAAAAAACCGACGAGGAAAGCTCCATGAAGAATCTACAATGAGTGAAGGCTACACGCCTTAATGAAATACACCAACTGGGGGGCAAGAAGCTGGCACCGCGTCAGTCAAACGCGCCACCAGCTGGGGGGCAACTGGGGTACATAGGGCTCCACCCAAAATTACCGACGAAGATTTTTTAAAAAAAGTAATAAGCTAGCGATGAGTTAAGACTCACCACCAGCTTGGGGGGCAATTGTTGGGGGTGTTACTAAATACTCCACGCGCGGACTAAATAAGGGCGCGCTCAATCGGTAACGTGCTCCGGACGAACGCCACTACGAAGTATTTAAAGGCATCAAACTCCCCATTGAGGGGGACTTCTCCTCCCTCCTCACTTTCCACTTTCTACTATCTCTCTACACTTTATCTCTCTACCTATTCTCTCATTTCTCTCCACAAACATACACTAACTTGACCGTCGGAGCTTAATCCGGGGGGCAACCCCGACACTTTTCACAGGTTTCTTCCCTCCCGACGAGATCAGACGAACGAATCATGAGTCAACCCCACACCAACAATCATTATTGTCCATACCTCGAGCTAGTAGGTTCAAACACATCCAATACAGAATAGGATTGTATGAAAAAAAAAGGCGAATAACATATTTTAAGGGCGTTTTCCTTAAGCACACACAAACATAGAGAGTTATACTTAATATGTATTCACGTTTCTTTCTCCTTCAATAATTAGAGCATCGGGTTAACAACATCCCTTCTGTCACATATACCAAATAATCACTATTATTTCCTAAATGCATTTGAAATTGAAGGTAAACATACGTGAAAAATTAATGGGAAAAGGAAGCACTGGTGGATCTAGGGTGTGGCCACCCCAGGTCAAGATCTAGCCCTCTTTTGGATCCAAATCTAGTATATCACTTATAAATTTTTTGATTTTAGGTATTTGATTTAGTGTTATTCAACTGCGGCCCAATGTTATTTGTATTCAAATGCAGCCTAGTGATATACTAAAGATCACCTAAGGAGAATTACCAAAATATTATAAAAATAAATAAAATACCATGAATAAAGTATTGTGAAACTTTTTATATAGATTTTGTGTTAAGAAGGTAAGATGTATATGGAATTGCATATATATTGAGTAAATTTGTCAAAATTATCTCAGCATGAGCAGCAACACGCATACTGAGCGAAACTTAAAAAGTTTAGCTTAGTATGTGTGACGCCCCACATGCTGCTAAAACAAGTTTCTCCTCCAAGCGCATGTGAAATATCTCTGACAGGCCCCCTCAATGCGTTGCCACCCTTTATCCAGTCTCCTCCGACCAAAATCTTCATTTTCGACAAATGTGCGTGACCATTTGGGGGTACTGTGATCTTTCCAATAGGGGTGGGCAATAATTCGGTTCATACCGGACTAAATCGTACCAAATTAATGTTTGGGCCGAATCAAATTGAATCAAAT